GCCAACCCCCGCTCCCCCAGCGCCACACTGCCAAAGCCCCCGCCACCCCATGCAGCCCCGCTGAAACAAAAACAAAAAACAAAAAACCCCGAGCGCCTCCCGCCACCACAAGATTGGCCACCCCTTCCAAGGTGCCGCCCCAAGCATGTGCTTGGTCGGCTGGTGCCTGGAGCCAGCCCTGGCTCTATTTAATCACTTAGAGAAAAACCTCTAATTATTTACTTTAATCATCTATTTACATTTAGAAGTCTACTCCCCCCCTCAATGCTAGGTTTGCGCCACAACTAAACTAACACATAGTTCAAACTCCCCCGTGCTCACTCCATCTGTTTTCCTTAGTGTGTAGCCTCTCCTCACCCAAGAAGATCCTCTCACTGAGGAACACTGCACTGTAAATATATTTCTGCATCTCAATATTCTTTATATTTTCCATAGGTACTGTAAGGTAAGCCACAAACAATAGCCTGAAGGCTAACTGTACATGATTAAACATCACACAGAGCATGTAATCCAAAATCTAAAAACACAAAAAAGACCGTATGCACAACAACAAATTGCTAAAATGACTGTAATGATGCACAGTTCTACAGTGACTCTTTTCTCTTCGATGAAGAACCCTGCATGCAAGCCAAAGCTCCATCTGGCAAATTCTAATGGCAGGCTCTTATTTATACATACATTACACAATGCAACGTGGTTGGCTTTAAATAAAAACACTATGTCACTTCCATTATGGACTGGCAACTGGTACAAATGGAGTTATGCTAAAATACACAGTTTCTTTGCTAATCTCAGACCTTGGCTCCAGGCCAACAGCTGTCCTGACTTTTATTGGTTGCAGCAGAATCCAAAATAGAGGCTGAATAAAATAATTGAACAGAAATATAGCTCCAGATAATATTGCCTATGTGCCTCACTCTCTCATTTCCTTTTTGTCTCTCCCTAGGGGGAAAGCAGTTATTCTTCCTCATGCTAAACCCAGTTGCTCCCCATAGCAATCATGTAAATCTTGGCATCCGTCACGCAGAAGAATGAAAAGTCAAATCAGCAGGAATCTTTCACATGAAAGCATCAGGCAGCCATTGGGGGGGGGGCAGGGGGGGACACCCCAAAAATATCCTCTCAAACTGTTCCACTTTTCTCCTAAGATTTCTAGTCACTAAAAACTTTCAAATATTCTAGTGATTTAAAAAAAAACAAGGTAACGTACATTCAAAGGGTAACAAGAAAACATTCTACAAATACATTAGAAGCAAGAGGAAGACAAAGGACAGGGTAGGCCTGTTACTCAATAAGAGGGAGGGGAGGAAATAACAGAAAATGTGGAAATGGCAGAGGTGATTAATGATTTCTTTGTTTCGGTTTTCACCAAGAAGGTTGGTGATGATTGGACATAGTGAATGCCAGTGAAAATGAGGTAGGATCAGAAGAGGCTAAAATAGGGAAAGAACAAGTTAAAAATTACTTGGACAAATTAGATGTCTTCAAGTCACCAGGGCCTGATGAAATGCATCTTAAAATACTCCAGGAGCTGACTGAGGAGATATCTGAGCCATTAGCGATTATCTTTGAGAAGTCACGGAAGACAGGAGAGATTCCAGAAGACTGGAAAAGGGTAATGTAGTGCCCATCTATAAAAAGGGAAATAAGGACAACCCAGGGAATTACAGACCAGTCAGCTTAAATTCTATACCCGGAAAGATAATGGAGCAAATAATTAAGCAATCAGTTTGCAAACATCTAGAAGATAATAAGATGATAAGTTACAGTCAGCATAGATTTGTCAAAAACAAATTGTGTCAAACCAACCTGATAGCTTTCTTTGACAGGGTAACAAGCGTGGTATATCTTGATTTTAGTAAAGCTTTTGATACTGTCCCACATGACCTTCTCATAAATAAACTAGGGAAATGCAACCTATGTGGAGCTACTATAAGGCCGGTGCAAAACAGTTGGAAAACCATTCCCAGAGAGTAGTTATCAGTGGTTCACAGTCATGCTGGAAGGGCATAATGAGTGGGGTCCCACAGGGATCAGGTCTGGGTCTGGTTCTGTTCAATATCTTCATCAATGATTTAGATAATGGCATACAGAATACACATAAACTTTGCGGACGATACCAAACTGGGAGGGGTTGCAAGTGCTCTGGAGGATAGGATTAAAATTCAAAATGATCTGGACAAACTGGAGAAATGGTCTGAAGTAAATAGGATGAAATTCAATAAGAACAAATGCAAAATACTCCACTTAGGAAGGAACAATCAGTTGCACACATACAAAATGGGAACTAACTGCATAGGAAGGAGTACTGCGGAAAGGGATCTGGGGGTCATAGTGGACCACAAACTAAATATGAGTCAACAGTATAATGCTGTTGCAAAAAAAAAAAGCGAACATCATTCTGGGATGTATTAGCAGGAGTGTTGTAAGCAAGACACGCGAAGTAATTCTTCTGCTCTACTTTGCTCAGTTAGGCCTCAACTGGAGTATTGTGTCCAGTTCTGGGCGTCACATTTCAGGAAGGATGTGGACAAATTGGAGACAGTCCAGAGAAGAGCAGCAACAAAAATGATGAAAGGTCTAGAAAACATGACCTATGAGGGAAGATTGAAAAAATTGGGCTTGTTTAGTTTGGAAAAGAGAAGATTGGACATGATAATAGTTTTCAAGTATGTAAAAGGTTGTTACAAGGAGGAGGAAGAAAAATTGTTTTTCTTAACCTCTGCGCATAAGACAAGAAGCAATGGGGTTAAATTGCAGCAAGGGAGGTTTAAGCTGGACATTAGAAAAAACTTCCTGTCAGAGTGGTTAAACACTGGAATAAATTGCCTAGAGAGGCTGTAGAATCTCCATCATTGGAGATTTTTAAGAGCAGTTTAGACAAACACCTGTCAGGAATGGTCTAGATAATTAGTTCTGCCATGAGTGCAGGTGACTGGACTAGATGACCTCTCGAGCTCCCTTCCAGT